TCTAGGTGTTTTATTTTCCTCTTTTTATTTTTTGAGTGTTCATATTGCTCAAGTTTACCTGAGATACTTGGGTTGGTGGCTTGATGTCTTTCATTATTTTGGGGAAATTCTTAGCTGTTTTTCTTCAAATCAGTGTGCTCACTGATTCTTTCTTCTACTGTATTTAGTCTTTAAATAAGGTTAATGAAGGAATTCTTTATCTCTGACATGTTTTTTTCTTTCTGGTATATCCTTTTTTGTGTGTGTGGAAGTAATACTGGGAATTGGAGTGCTCTAGTACTGAGCTATATCCCAGCACTTTTTATTTTTTTATTTTGTGACAGGGCCTCTAAGTTTCTGAGACTGGCCTTGAACTTGGAATCCCCCTGACTCAGCCTGGTGAGCCGCTGACCTTATAGGCATGTGCCACAGTGCCTGGCTAGTATTTCCATTTTATTCTCTTTCATAGTTTCCATCTTTTTACTAAACATTTACATCTATTTATGCATGTGTTACATCTTTTTCATAGATTTTTAAAAACCTTTTAATCATAGCTACTCAAAACTTGTCTGAAAGGTTCAACATCTGGATCATGTCTGAGTATGGTTCTGTGGATCGATATATCTATTGAATATGGATATTTTGGTTTTTTTTTTCTGTACTGGGATTGAACTAGGGCGCCATATGTGCCGTGGAAGTGCTCTACCACTGAGCAATATTCCCAGTTTTTAAAATATTATTTTGAGACAGGATTTTGCTAAGGTGCTAACTATGATCCTCCTGCCTCAGCTTCCCAAGTAGCTGGGGTTACGTGCATGTGCCATCCTACTTGGCACTGATGGATTTGTTTTCTTATAGCATATTTGTATGTCCATGATTTTTAAATTAAAATCTAGACATTATATTAGAACTAATTGAGGCTCAGTGTTAGTTTGGATATGAGGTGTCTCTCAAAAGCTGGTGTTAATGCAGGAATATTCAGAGGTGCAGAGATTAGATTACGAGAACGTAACCAAATTGGTCCATCCTAGTTTGGCTGTACTAAGTGGGTGGTAATTGTGGGCAGGTGGGGCATGGCTGGAGGAGATGTCCCTGGGGATATGTCCTGGAGGGGCACAACTTCCCAGTGGTTGCTTCCCCCCCGCGTTCTCTGCTTCCTCCCTGCCATGAGTGGAGTAGCTTCCTTCTGCTGGGCCCTCCTGCCCTGATGTTCTGCCTCCCCTTGGGTCGAGAGCAATGGAGTTAGTCGACTATGGACTGAATCTCCAAAATTGTGAGCCCAAAATAAACTTCCTCCTGTAAGTTGTTCTTGTCTGGTATTTTGTTCACAGCAATGAAAAGGTGACTAATACAGTAAGATAGATTATATTAATCCCTGGGTCTTGTTTTGATCAATCTGTGAGTGTGAGTTGAGTCAATGCTGTTAGGATTGATCCGGTTTAGCTTTCATTGTCCTGTTGAGACCTTCCATGCAGCTGAGGCCTCAGATTCCTCTAGTGCTGAACTGCTGCCACCTTTTTGTAGGGAAACAGCGTTTTTTGTTTTTTGTTTTTTTCTGAGAGCTGCAGTCAGCTCTTTGCTTCCAGCTCTCCCCAGGTTCACCTTGCCCAATCCCCGCTCTAAGCTCCTGGTCTTCCTCCTGCTCTGGTATACTGCTGTTTGGGGTTACTTGGTGCTGACTCCACCAGCTGGAGGGGGCGCTCACTATTGTCTTTGGCCTCTCCGGGTGAGACTGGCGGGAGTACTTTGGCGCTGGGGGGAAGGCTCTTTTCAGGGTTTCTGCCCTCCTCCCCCAGGTATCCCAACTCTGTGTGTTCTCCTGCCGCTCTGGGAGGCGTGTTAAATCTCTTGGCCTCAGCACCGTGTTCTGAGCTCAAGATGGTTTCCTGCTTCTCCCCAAGGGTTAGAGGACTTTTCCCTCTCTCTTTCCCCAGTTGCAGTTGGCAGTGGTTCCAGAAACTGTGCTCTTCTCCCATTGGCTTATGCTTTGTGTAAGGAGGGTCTGGGGATGTGAGCAGGGTTCTTGCTGTTCCACAGCACCTGCCAATCACTTCCTATGGGCCTGGTGCTCCGTCTGGTCTCCTATCTTGTCCTTAGTTTTTTTTAATCTCATGGAACAGAGCCTGTGAGCTTCCCTACATATGGACTCCTATTATACCACACCCTTGGACTAGCCCACTCTTGGTCTTTAATTCCTAGAAATTAAAATTTTTTTGTTGATGTTTTCTTACTTGATTTTACAGTAGCTTTTCTCCTATGCTCCACCACCAGTTTGTGTCCCATCTGTCCTTGAAGGGACCTGTCCCTCTTTTGATTCCAAGTTACTTGTTTACCTTAGGACCTCAGGCCTCTGATCAGCTCAAGAAAATTTTTAATTTTATAGTTGTTCTGGGTTTTTCTCATTATTGGGGTGGTTGGATTTCTACATCCCAAGAAAAAAAGGAAACACCTCAGAGGCTTTTGGTATACTTTATTATTTCCCCAGTTAGGATGAAGATCTCTGAGACCTGCAGATCTGGGGTGTGGCTGTGGGCCCCCAGGAGGGAAGCACGGAAGTTTGTCTTGCTTTCCTGCGGGAATCTACCAAGGCCTTCTCAACAGAATCTCCCAGAGTCTATAAATATCTAGAATTTTCAGGTTTAAGCCTTTGTGCATGGGACGGGCAAGATGAAGCCTGGCTCTTTATGCACTGCTGAGGCCAAGGGCCTGTTAAGGGTTTTCCATTATCAGCCTGGATCCATAGAAGTCCCTAGATAGCATGGCTTTGTTTTGTCTTGCTGTTTTATAGATTTTTTAAAATCACTGCTTTTTGGGACTGGGGTTGTGGCTCAGTGGTAGAGTGCTTGCCTCACATGTATGAATCACTGGGTTCAATTCTCAGCACTGCATATAAATACATGAATAAAATAAAGGTCCATCAACACTAAAAAATTAAAAAAAATCACTGCTTTTTATAGGCCTCAATTGTAGTGTTCTTTTGCATGATTTTATATTTATTCTGCCTAGAATTGAGCTTTGTAGAATCCACGGGTGCACAGTTTTCATAATGTTCGGCATTTTTTTTAGCAGTTGTTTCTTCAAGTATTGTTTTTCTGTCCTTTCCTCTTTCTCCCCTCCTTCTGGGTCTCCAAGTTGAGAACCACTTGATATTGCCCCTCATTATTGAGGCTTTACTTGGTTTCTTTTGGTATTTTTGTTTGGTATGTGAAATGTACTTCAGTTTACATATTTTTTGTTCTTATGTTTTCAAGTTCACTGATTTTTTTTCTTCTGATAAATTTTTTTCTTGGTAATGAGAATGTAACCTAGGGTGCCTTTCACTGAACTGCATCCCCAGCCCTTTTTTAGTTTTAATTTTATTATTATTATTATTAAATTTGAGAGGAGGTCTCAATAAGCTGTTTAGGGACTCACTGAATTCCTGAGGCTAGCTTTGAACTTATGATCTTCCTGCCTCGGCCTCCCAAAGAGCTAGGATCACTGGTATGTACCACCATGGCAGAAGGTGACGTTTTGCAAGGGCCAATAACCTATCTCTAGTTTCCTATGATAGTGAGAGGTCTATTAATAAAACCCCATGATGTTTATTCTGTCATCTTTTAGAGCTTTTTTGGTAAAATGGTGTAAGATTGTGTTTTAAAATTATTTTTTTTTCTGAATTGTCACCTATTTATTATAATATTGCTCATAGGATAGGATTTTCTGCCCCATTTCCAAAAAATGAGTTTATGGATTTTCATGACAGAGTCTTATCTCTGTCATATGGTGGCATTATCATGTTCATGTTCTGGAGTCAGGCTGAGCTGGGTTAAGATCCTGGCTCTCCATTTCTACCTGAATGACTTTGGACCTGTTGCTTATCCTGCTTGAACTTTTGTTTCTTCATCTATAAAGTAGGAATGCTGTTATTTTCTGTCATAGGATTGTTGAGACAATTCAATGCAAAAGGGTTAATGCTTTTTTTTTTTTTTTGATACCTGGGATTGAACGAGGGGCACTCAACCACATCCCCACCCCTATTTTGTATTTTATTTAGAGACAGAGTTTCACTGAGTTGCTTAGCGCCTCCCTGTTGCTGAGGCTGGCTTTGAACCTGTGATCCTCATGTATCAGCCTCCCAAGCCCCTAGGATTACAGGCATATGCCACTGTGCCTGGCTAGGGTTAATACTTTTTTTTTTTTTTTAAGTTGTAAATGGACACAATACCTTTTTTTTTTTTTTCCTTTTCTTTTAATTTTTATGTGGTGCCGGGGATCAAACCCAGTGCCTCACACATGCTAGGCAAGCGCTCTACCACTGAGCCACAACCCCAGCCCTAGGGTTAACATTTTTAAAAACAGTACTGTGCTTTTTAAAAAATTGCCAAATGCTTGTGACATCATGTGTTCTTCCACAAGTAAAAGCAACAAACATAACCAGAAAAGCAACATTTGCTATGGAAATGAGTTGTACCAAGGAAAAGCTTATAAAACCAGGTAGTTTTCTTTATCTTCTTTTTTTTAAACATCTCACAAGCATAATGATGTTGTTAGAGGCTGTGTGTTTTTCCATTAACTCAGTGGAATTAAATTCTAGCCCATGTAGGTGAATGGAATGTTGTGTGAGCCTGTAAAATTTAAGATTTAAAAAAAAAAAAAATCACGGGTCCTGGAGTCAGACTTCCTCTCAGCTGCCAGCCACATTGTTGGTCTTGATACTTTTGATTTGTTTTTCCTGTGCTGACCTCAACTTTATACCTGTTTTCGTTCTTGCTTCTGGTCACAGTCGTGAATCTTCCTTGATTTATTCTGCCCCTAAACACATTAGGCTCCTTTTCTGGACTTCTCTTCCTTTAACATATGGGGCAAAAGTAGCAGTTAGGTGAAGAACCCCTGGGGAGGTGAATGGGAGACTGGGGGAGGGAGGTCTGTGTCAGCACCCTCTCATCTTGTTGTGCTCAGTTCTTTAGTAAGGGCTTTCGGGGAAGTGGGGAGATAGGAGCTACTTGGAACTCTAAAATGAAATGTTTTTTCTTTTTCAGTCCTAACAATCAAGATTTTTTTTTCCTGACCTTCAAATGGTGGGCATCTCTCATCCTCAAATGATGACCCTCACGAACTACCTTGAGGAAAGATTGCCATCTGTTCCTAGCAAACATCATTAGGAGAAAGATCTAAGAGCAGTGAGGGCTGGAGGCCGCCCCAGGATGAAAACTGTCCTGATTTGAATGTGATATCTTCCCCAAGCAAAGGAAAATGAACCAGAAGGCAAATGAGAATGTAGAAAGAGTTGCCCAATTCATTGTAAAGCCCCAGACACCCATTCGGCCTTACATCTGCTCCACTCTGAATGATTTTCAAGAAGAGAGGAACTTTTTGGCAACCAACATCTTCCCTCAGCTTAATGAACTCTGCAATTCCCGGGGTACATACTTCAAACCTGTGGACCTGAGGTGGTCAGTCTTGAAGGCCCAGAAGTCCTTGCCGGCCAACTTGTATCGACAGGGTTGCTGTCTCCTCTCCCAGCAGCTGAAGCTCTGTCTTGACTATGTGAACAGCTGCTTTCCCTTCTTCATCTGCATGTTGGGTCAGACCTATGGGGACTTCTTTCCTGACCACTCACCTTTCATGTTCTCCAAAGCAAAAGACCTATCAAATTTATCCAAAGCAGAGCAGAATCTTTATGTTGCTGCAAAAAATGGTTATCCTTGGGTCCTAGAGACTCCCAACTGCAGCCTGACGGAGTTTGAGATCATCCAGGCAGCATTTCGGAACCAGTCACAATTTCAATATTTTTATTTCAGGACCAGGACCACGCTGCTGAAGATATTAAGTGGGGAAGAGGAGGAGAGTCTGTCCTCAGGTGCTCTGGTGAATGAAGAGGAAAAATTGAAGATTGGAAGACTTAAGGCCAAGATCATTAGTAAAGGGCTTCCCATCAGATTTTATAAAGATCTCCAAGAGTTGGGGGAACTGGTTTTCAAGGACTGGTCGTTTGTGATAGAAAAACTTAACCCAATCACTTTAATGATCAAAAATATAGGTGAGTGAATGTGATTAACACAGGTTAATGTTTTGTATGTCTTCCTAGGAAAAAATTTTTTAAATGATTGAAAACATTCCTTAAGCATTTAATATTATCCATTTTATGCAATATATATTTTTTTCATTTTTTAAAAAATATTTTTTAATTATACATGGGTACAATATCTTTATTTTGTTTATTGATTTTTGCGTGGTGCTGAAGATTCAACCCAGTGTCTCACATGTGTGAGGCAAGTGTTCTGTGACTGAGCTATAACCCCAGCCCTATTTTTTCATTTTGAAGATTTTTGAAACTGAAAATGGGAGCTAATGATGGGTCATGGAAGAATAGTTAGGAAGTTAAAGAGCTCAGAGAAGACCCAGAATATCTGGCAGTTAATGTGTAGATCTAGAGCAGAGGTTCTTGACTATTGCCAATTTTGTCCCCTCCCTGCCAGACATTTGATCTTATCTGGAGACATTTTTGGTGGTCCTAATTGGGGGAGAGATACTGGCCTCTAGTAGGTGGAGGCAAGGGGTGCTAACCATTCTTCAGTGCACAGGACAGCCCTCCGGAATAAATATGTATCCAGTCTACAATGTCAACAATGTGAACGTGGAGAAACCCTGAGCCAAAGGGAAGAGAGCTTTCATTAGTTGGTGATTTGTGTATATAATCACATTTCATCCTTCAAGTTTAGCTCTGCAAGGCAGGAATAATAATTCTGGTTTTGCAGAGGAGCAAATGAAAGCTACTATATATATTGGTCAAATGACTTACCCATATCACATAAATGACCAATCCAAGATTTGAACCCACATCTCTCTGATTCTAAGATCCATGCCTGTTCTTCTTTATCTATACTCTTCAGAGTGTAATCCATGAACTGTCAACCCTGGGAGATTGTTAGAAATGCAGAATCTCAGGTACCATTTTAGGTCTACTGAATTAAAATTTGCATTTTAACATGATGACCAGGAGATTGTATGGGTGCTAAAGTTTGATGAAGCACTACCTCATATCAGATTGCTTCTAAATGAAATGATTAACTTTATTTTATTTTTTTCAAACAATGCCTTTATTTTTATGTGGTGCTGAGGATCGAACCCGGGTCCCGCCTGTGCTAGGCGAGCGCTCTACCACTGAGCCACAATCTTGGCCCCTGATTAACTTTATTTTTGAAAATGGTGTCTTGAGAACATGTGCCAAGATAGAACAGGAAGAGCAATGTCAAGGTATAGCAGAGAATCTGCATCTAGAGAAACCTCAGGAGGGATATGAGACACCCTTAAAATAACACTAAAAATAGAATTTTTATATGCATGTGTGTTTTGGGGGGAGGCGAGAAGATGACCTGTGTCTTTTATCAGATTCTCAAAATCTCAAAAGATTCTGTGACCCCAAAAGGTTATGATTTACTGATGTAAGGGCCTAATTAATGTGGGGAGGTAAAGTGGTGGTAGATGGTACATCCTCAAATGTTTTTGGGGATCAGGCAGGCAACAGTCCTTATCATATGAGCAGATGGATGGGAGGTAAGTCATAGAATATTGGCCCACATAAGTTGTTCAAATTCAGTGCTGGGGGTGGTGTTGAAATCTCACCCTTGGGCTGGGGCTGTAGCTCAGTGGCAAAGTGCTCACCTAGCATGTGCGAGGCCCTGGGTTCGATCCTCAGCACCACATAAAGATAAATAACTAATGATATTTGTGCAACTACAACTAAAAAATAAATATTAAAAAAAAAAAAGAAAAGAAATCTCACCCTTGGTAACCAGGTGAGTCTGCCTATAAGCCAAATCATTCTGGACCCTGGGGGAAAAACACTGTTATCAGTCACAAGGCTTTTGGTTGCAAGAGACTCCAACTAGCACCAACAAAAAGGGACCTTATAACTAATATAATTGCAAAGCCCAGGATTCAGTCTGGTTCTGCTCAGGCTTCAACTAGTGGCTCAGATGATGTCACTAGGCTCTGATCTTTTGGTTTCTCATCCTGGCTCTGTTGTTCTGATGTTGGCTCAATTCCTTGGCTTCTCCCTCATAGAAGGAAGATGACTGTAGCACTCCAGGTTCAAGTTCAGCAGAATTGGCTCAATTACTAGCACTGAGCCATTCTTGGCCTAACCTGGGCCATGTGCTTGTATTTAATTCAATCATGGGTGCCAAGAAAATGTGATACTCTGATAGTTAATCCTGGATCATAGACTGCCTCTGGAATGCACGTGGAGTCGTGAACTTAATAACATGAATTGAGATTTGGGATGGTGGATCTAGTGCTGTTACTGAAACTAGTGTAGAGTCAGTGAATGTTGGGCAGCCTAAAGATATCTTAAATATTTACTATAGGTGTGAAGTTTTTAGAATCTGACTCCAGGCATGTCCTTAGAATCCTGGATTTTTCAGTTCCAAGCTGTGTGAGTTTGAGAAAATTACTTAATACTGGTAAGCCTTATTTTATAAAATAGATGGATAAGAATCTGCTCATGAGTAATGCACATGTGAAACACCTAAAAACAGTGCCTGACTCATTAGTCACAGAGTAAATAGCCAATAAGAGTGAATAACCAAATGGATTCCAGAACAACATGGACATCTGGCTGAAGTCTGTAATGGTAATAGTATTTTACCCATCATAATCTGGATCACATCCAATGATTAATATTCACTAATTCATACAAGAATCAAGCCTTTCTGTGTACTTAGGTTAAGTTCATCTTATTTCTCCATAGTATCATAGTATTCATTTTTTTTTTTCTTTTTTGTACCAGGGATTGATCTCGGGCACTCGACCACTGAGTCACATCCCTAGCCCCTATTTTGTATTTTATTTAGAGACAGCGTCTCACTGGGTTGCTTAGTGCCTCGCTTTTGCTGAGGATGGCTTTGATCTTATTGAAAAGTTAGCTTGTTTTATATTTTATTCTTGAAGGGTTGTATGTGGGCTAAATATCTAAATTAGAAGGTACACAATGGGTGGATTATGAAAAAATTCTCTGAAAGGAAGTGCTAAATTCTCTTTTGGATCTATGATACCCTTTAAATTATTTAGGTAGCCTCCAAAATCTCACAGTCTACAGCTAGGATAGCAATAAACCATTTGTACAGTTAGTAGTTATAAGGCAATGTAGAGCTATCAGTTTATACTCTTGATTCTTAGAGATACTTGATCTTCAAGATACCTCACTTTAGTGGGTGAGGTTCAAGTTCAGCTCAGTCATCCCAAATTCTATTAAAAATTTTGAAACATGAAGCTGTCCTATAGTCTTCAGGTCTGTCCTGGCACTAACCTGAACCACAGGACAGACAAGTTAATAAGGAGTGGGTGGGTATCTTAGAAACCTACCAGACTATTTTATGTTTTTTCCCCCTATATGTACATTGATAATAGCCTTCACCCTCCAGAGACAGGAGAGCATTTTAGCAACCCAGACCCCCCCTGACTTGAATTAGGCAGTGGTTTTGGAATTACAGTAAATAGGAACTCAAGGGACCCAGACATCATCCAATCGTCTGACTCTACATCTTATTAGAGTTTAAGGGACCTACCTTCCCAATGGCAGAGCTGCAGCTGTACCCATGGGTGTCATCTGTTTTAGGGCATCTTGCCCTAGAAATACACTGCACTCCTCTAAGCTTTGCCATGTGTAGACACACAGACATACCCCTGTTGTTTTCTTTCATTAACATTCAGAATGGGCTGTGAAATATGGCACCACCATGGAAAGAAGGTGATCTAGATACAGAGAGCAAATTCCTTATTGGGCATTTATAGAAAGCATGTGCAATTGAAAATGTAAAACTACAATTCTAAGATCTTAAAACTTATTTCTTTAATTATAAAGACTACAGGCACAGCTTAGAATGTTTCTATCATGAAGAGTTTATTGAGAAGTGCAAGCAAGCGTTTGTTTCTTCCAAGGAGTCAAACAGGATCTTTGAAATCTTGGAACAATTTGTCTTAAAGGATGAGGGACTTGACTTAAAAAATGCAGCAGCAGATTCTAATTTAGTCTCTGTTCTCAGGTAAGATGTCAAGAAATCCAAATCCTTCTTTATGGGGTTCAAGCAAAACAGCCTGGCTTTGGTAAATGTGATTCCTCCAAATTTAGAGTGTCCACTCCCACTTCCCCCATTCTGTGGACATTCCATCCTATAAGAGAGACCCCAGAAAGGCTAACCCTGGGTTAGATGTCCTTATCAGGTACCCCCTGCTTTTGCAAAGCTTTTCTGGTTTTTCACATACTTTCTTCCAGTGTCCTTAAGAAGATGATAAACTGTTGGAGGGCAGAGCACCTACCTTCTTTTCTCTCTCATACATCAAAATTGATCTAAGTAATTCTAAGAACAATGAAATGGCTTTAAGGAGAAGAAACTAAAATGGAGAATATGTATATTGCATTTGTATAGTAGTATGTAATTTAGGGCTTCCATGTGTATCATTATTATATTTACATTCAGATATTCACCAGAACTTATCAAAATGATATGGGACATATCATTATTTATGTTTATGTGTAAGGAATCAAGTTATCGTTCCCCATGTATGCACTCGTTCATTGGTTTATCCAATGTCTTCTATAGTCAGACCTGCATGTCTCTTTCCACTCTGGGTGGTGACACACCTTTGCCATCCATAGGTATTGTGAAGCTGAGGCAATGTAAGAAAATTGGCATTGTCTATGAGTCCCTCGGGGTCTATTCCCAGAAAGCAGGGAGGTTCCTAGGATAGTCTTCTTTTTTCATCCTCATCCTCCGGTTCTTAGCACAGGTCTCATTTTATCTGTACACTTTTTATGGTTTGAAATAAGCCCACAGTAGCTGGGATGGTGAGGGGCTCTCTGCCATCACCCTCCCAGGCTCAGCTGCACACCACTGAAGTCCACTCAGAGCTACCAACATTTTTGTGATTCTGGGAACTCATGCCAAGAGGAAATGACTTATTACACCAAAAGAAAGTGACTTATTTGATTTAATATTACATCATAATATTCAATCACTATTTTTTTTTTAAATAATTTTTTTAGTTGTATTTGGACACAATACCTTTATTTTATTTATTTTTATGTGGTGCTGAGGATTGAACCCAGGGCCTCACCCATGCTAGTTAAGCGCTGCACCACTGAGCCACACTATTTTTTAAAAATCTTTCTTTAGTTATACATGGACATAATACCTTTATTTTGTTTATTTATTTTTATGTGGTGCTGAGGATCAAACCCAGTGCCGCACATGTACAAGGCAAGTGCTCTGCCACTGAGCTACAATCCCAGTCCTCAATCAGTATTTTTAAGACTACAGGAAAAGCACATAGGTTATGTGTGTGTGTGTGTGTGTGTGTGTGTGTGTGTGTGTGTGTGTGTTAATGTTTAGCTTTTAGTTGGACACAATATTATTTCTTTATTTATTTATTTATTTATTTTTATGTGGTGCTGAGGATTGAACCCAGGGCCTTGCATGTGCTAGGTGAGCACTCTGCCACTGAGCCACAACCCCAGCCCTGTTATGTGTTTTAAATGTGAAGCTTGAAGAGACAAATCTGTAGAAACAGTTGGCTAAGGGACTGCCGGGGGATGAGGGTAGTGAAGGAAATGGAGGATGATCCTTAATGGGTGTAGAGGTTCTGGAATTAAAGAGTGACATATTTGTGAATATATAAAATCACTGAAATGTTCACTTTAAAACAAGGAATTTTTTGGTTTGTGGATTATTTATCAGTTTATAATTTTAAGCATTTTAGTGTGGATGAGAAATCTAGTAAATTTTTATTGCAAATGAACAACTTAAATTGTTGGACCCAACAAGATACAGCAATTAAATAAGTCCTTTTAGATTAGTTATGTGAAAACATGCAGAGCTTTTGCTTGCTTTGCCATTCAGGAACAATGTTCTGTTCTGTATGTTCCTGAATAGTGTGTAAGGGTCAATAGAAGAGGAGTGTGGTTTTATTCACTTGTCAAAGCAGTATCTTCATTGACAACCAGATAGACCAACAGGGTTCTCATTTTGAAAAGGAGCCACAGATTGTTTTGCAGTGTTTTCATTTTTCTTGAGAAGTAGTGATTAAGACCCTAGCTGTAGGTATGCGGATGCATCAGATTTACATTTCTTGTTAGTTGATTGTTACCTGCTCTGTGCCAAGCAACAGAAAATCTTTGCCCCCATCGAGGTTCGCATTGTGGACCCAGGCAACGAACATAACAGATATGCAAAACATGTAGCATACTAGATGCCTTCAAGGAAATGTTGAAGAGAAATGGGCCACCTGCTTGGCTGAGGGAAGCCCTCAGTGACAAGGCGATTTGGGTTAACTACTAGAAAGAGGTGAGGAAGCAAGCCCTGTGAATATGGATTGGAAAGATCTTCCAGATAGAGGAAGAGGCCCTGAGGCTGGAGCAAATAGCAAGGAGGCCAGCAGCCACAGGAAGTCAAAGCTGCAGAGAGAGGTAGTGGAAGAGGTTGGAGAGATACTGGATGGGTCTTTCTGGCGGCACTGTTCATTGGACGGACTTGGACTTTTGCTGCTTTCAAGCAGAGCAATCACCCACCTATGTGAAATGTTTTGTCTGGCTTGCTCTAGCTGATTGGTTGAGGTAAGACTGAGCAGAGGGCAAAGGTAGAACACACAATCAAATCCCACTACTCAAATTTGCTGGCAAAACAATTTAAGCAATAAAACATTCATTCCTAATTTATATTAATGGAGATGGACTTCCTAAGAAATAACTATTTAATGACCTGGCTTTAGGGTTTCTATGTTAGTGAGTCTTCGAACTGATCCTCTTGCTTTGCTGAATCAGAATTCAGCTTTATGGCATTTAATTCATTGACTTGTTCAACAATATATGGTCATGCCCTGCGCTAGTCACTAAATATCCAATAGTGAATCGAATAATCCTGGGAACGGTCCTCTTCATGGTACTCCTGTTAGCACAAAAGAACCAAGCTGGATTCAAACTTCATGGATTATTTCAGCCTTCAGGAATGGAGTTTCCTGCAGGAATGGGGTGATGAAAATTTGGTGGCTCATTTTCCACTTTCCTGGTGGAAAATGAGCCACCAAACAAAGGCGGGAATGGGTTTATGTAGGTTATATTGAGAGGTGACTTAATTAATGAGTGTGTCAGCTTGGACACTCAGGAATTTGAGGTCCATTTTACTGGGCCAAATGGGAGGGAGTCTGGGGTCAGCACTCCGTCTCTGGGATTCATCTTACTGGACTGGATGGAGGTCCTGAGGTCAGTGGTTGGTATCTATAAAGGATTTATTTAGGGAAGGAGTAATGCTTTGGCCTCTTCCAGAGACTGCCTTTCTAGGTTTGATGAACACCTCTTCCCCAGGGTTTGTTTTATCATCAGGAAAGAGTATACTGGAAAAGGATCAATGCTGTCAATGTCTGGCTTTCTATATCACTCCCCTTTTCTCAGGCCTCACTATTTTGGGAGTTTGTCATTTTCCATATCTAATAACTCCCATCAATGAAAAAAATCACTAGACACATACTTATTGAATCATAATTGTAAGGAACAACACTAGAATCTCTATGTTGTGATAGTCATGGACCTGAGAATCTTCTGCATATCCAGAAGATTTTCACTAGAAAATAAAGCAACAAAACAAGTTTTATTATGCTTCTGACAGTTCAAAGATAAAATATTTGTGTAGTACAACTAGCTAACATCCCCTGGTGGAGAAGCAGGCTACTTCTCAGAGCATCACTAACGATGATGATAATTGAGTTGAATTTCTGATTTCGTGATCATCGGGATTTATGGGAATTCTTGGTGTATGAGTGCTTCAGTTTTTATTCTCTTCTGATATAGTGATGTACCAAGAACTAGCCTGGTGATAGGGGAATGAGCAGGCAGGCATGAGGACAGTGGACTGGGGCTGTAGCCTTGGGGTCCTTGATGTAACCTTGAGTTCATACTGGACAACCCTAGGATATGTGTGGCTACAAAGGCCTTCCGAAGTTACTGTCTCTCTACTGTTAGCTGAAAGGGCAGGCTAGATCAGGAACCACGGAATAAGAGTGAGGTGCCAAAAGAGGGTTTATTGGGGGGGCTCCTAGGCAAGGTTCACCCGTCCATGAAAGGGTGAGGGCCGGGGAAGTTGTGGGTAGGAAAGGCAAGAACAGTGCTAATAAGGGAAGCTGGAGGTGGGAAGGCCTAGGCCATCTAAATCGCAGTTACCCACAGCAGGTTGGCTGAGCAGGGTTTAGGGGCATCTTGTCTGTTGCTGGTTGGTCAGAGCTGATGTTGGTTGATAGGGCGATTGCTTCAGCCGTGGGAACCGGCGGTGGTTGGGGTCTGTTGCCATGTCAGCTTCTGAATGGCCATTTCGCATCTCCTCAGCCAAGTGGAAAGTCCCTGGCCACAGCTGCCATGAAAGAGGAGGGAGAAGGGAAGGCTGCCCACCCAACATCTACTCCCTAATTTTACATAGGTCAAAGCCCAGAGGATGAAAGACTTCTTTGAAAACAGCTGAGGCTAACATTCTTATCTCTTGGAGTCAAATGTCTACAGAAGATGTCTTTCCTCCTCTATTCCTTGGTGAATCTTCTTGACTACATTTTACCTCTTTATTTTTCAGAATAAATTCTCTTCCAGCTTTCAAGTCTATTTTGCTCTTGTCTGGAGAACGTGGTTGCGGGAAGTCCACCCTGATTGCCAACTTCGTGAATTATTTCAAAAACAAATATCCGAGCATATGGATCATCCCTCATTTTGTGGGAAGCACCTGTGAAAGCAGTGACATCGTGTCTGTGATCCACTACTTCATCACAGAGCTACAGCACAAGAACCACAGTAATAGAATCAGACTCCTAATGTTCATTCAGAAAATGCCTCTTCTGCTCATGTGCCTGGTGTTCCCTTGTTCTACTGTAAACCCCACATTATCCCACCCATGTATCTACCCGCCTCTTCCCTCATAGCCTCCTTATCTCTCGCTCTCTGCTCCCTCCCCCTCCCTTCCCTCCCTAAATGTTTATTGAGTTCCTTTGTGTGCCAGGCACTACTGTGAAGAAAGTGGACCAGAGCCCTTACCCCATGGAGTTCTCAGGTTACCAGGGAGGGATTAGGACAAAGAATTAACTGAGTAACTAAATAAAAGATGTAGAAGTTAGAAGTATTTAGTAAGAAAAAGCAAAAAAAAAATAGGCAGCCTGTGTGTGTGTGTGTGTGTGTGTGTGTGTGTGTGTGTGTGGAGTCTCTTAGAGAATAGGATAAAAGAACATTTACATAAACACTAGAAGAAAGAGGAGGGAGCCGTGGGTACTCTTGCTGGAGTAGCTTTGCACAGGCTCCTAGGTGGACATGCCTGTCAACCACTGTTCTTCCTGTTCAATTTCAGTAACCGTGTGCTGAGCATCTTTATTTATTCATTCATTCATTACAGAGTATTTACTGGTTTTCTGTTCTGTACAAGACGTTTTTTTGGGTTCTGGGAATATAGGAGTAAATCAGGTGAACAAGGTCATGGCTCCCAGGGATATAATGTTCCCGTTGGGAAAGGCAGATATCAAGTAAATGAATAACCCATCAAATATGATTAATGCCATGCCGAATGATGTGATGAGGGGACAGGGTGGCTCCTGAGCAGGAAGGCGTGCTGTGTCTCTGTGGTGGGGTAGCTCCAGCTGCTGTATCAGCTGAGTCCCATTGCAGCGGCTTCTCAAATGGAAGGTTATTTCTTATTCATGTAACAGTCTAGTTTGTGGCTCCTGGTTAGATAACAAGTAGCTTTCTTCTATGTGGTGATTTGAGGACACAGTTTTCTTTCCATCTAGAAGCTGTGTCACCCCAGAGCCTCAGAGTCCTTTGCTTTTTGCTAAAGGTAAAAGGGAACGTGTAGGATAGGAGACCTGTTCCCTCAAGTGTCAACCTGGAAGAAATATGTATCAGCTCTACCTCGGGTCTTCTGGCAACAGTTTGGCCAGTGAGGAATCAAGAAGGTAGAAAAAGCAGATCCCTCCCTACAGAAGGGGCAGCATGAAGCTTGAGGGACAGGTAGCCATCTCCTCTGCCACACTCTCTGGGGACAGCTCATTGACAAGAAGGAGCCAGCCAGGTGGAGACCAGGAGAAAGAACATTCCAGGTGGAGTGAAAAGCTAAGCTAATACTACAGTGTCTAAGCCGGAAACACAGTTGCTGATTTAGAGAGGGAAAGTGGCTAGGGTGGCCAGAAAGCCACGGGACCCGCAAGGCCTCTGTCAGGTGAAGCAGGGGTGAGGTCGGCTGCTGCACCTCGGGGTTTGTAGGCCAGAATGTTAGATGCGGATTCTGTTCAGTAAAATGAGAGGCGAGTGGGGGAATTTGAGTGGGGAAATGACATGATTTCATTGTGTGGAAGATGGATGCAGGGAGCAGGCGTGGAGGCGGGAGGCTGTTGGAGCTGTTGCAAGAGCACACTAGCTGGGCCAGGGCAGTGGAGGTGGAGGGGTGGGCTCCCGTGCTGAGGAGTGGGCTGGAGGACTGAAGGAAAGAGGAACTGCAAGTAACTCCCAGCTCTCCGCCTTAGGAGACTAGACGGATGGCAGAGCTATTGACTGGGAGGGAAGCAGGTTTGAGGCAAGTCACGTTCTGCTTGGGAGGTACAAGGTATGCCCCCCCACCACCATGATGGCAATTATGTGGGGTCAGGGTGATGCCTTGTTCTGTTCTGGGAGCAGATGAGGAGCCTGACTACCTACATTTAAGCCCTGTTCCACTGCTTCCTGGCTTGTGGCCCTAGGTGAGTTATTGTAAAACCTCTGGCTCAGTTTCCCTATTTGTAATAAGTGGATGATAAAAAAGGACATGTGCCTTGCTCAGAGGTGAGAGGGTTAACTAAGATCAAGTGTGAGTGATCCAGAGGCTTAGCTCAGTGCCTGGGGTCGTTCCCCTGGGAAGCGTGGGTACCAGCTCTTCCTCCTCGTAGGTACTGTGTGCACTCACATCTGCATGTGTCTGACTTTGCCTATTCGTGCAGGAGCTTCTGGGTCCTGAGTGAATATGTGGGTGCCACAGGGTGAGTCTGGATGGGTGTGTATCATCTTTGCCTGAGGGTCACGTATTTGGGTCTCTTTCTATGCAAGTGGTAGGTGTGTCTGAGTGAGTAGGGTGGATTGGGTGGCTGAGTTTCCTACCGTTGGGTGGGCATGTAAATGGGTAAAGTCCAGTTAGTAGCAGCAGGTTTGTCTGTTTGTAAGGCCACTGATCCTATTCTGGTGTGTCCCCAGGGTGCTTGCTCTGGCTAGGCTGGTGATGTAAACTCAGTGGAACACACCCAATTATAATTTCATTCCCAAAGTGAATTGCTGTTTTAATGGGTGTGTTGTGGGATACTGGAAGCTCCCAATTAAACCAGCTGCTATCTTTCAAGCAAGCAGACAACAGTAGAATAAATTCAGGAATAGCCCATGAATACTGACGCCTCCTCTCCCCTAAAGAACACCTTCCTCATTAATGGTGGGAGGCCCAGGGGAGGGGCTGTGCTTCTGGATGACTTGTTAATTATAGCTGGGTGATCTTAACAGTTTACTTAAGCTCTCTGTGTCCTAATTTCCCTTCCTTCTCCTCTTCCTACTCCTCCCCCTTCCCCTTTTATCTCTCTTTCCCCTCCAACACCTCCTAATTGAACCCAGGGGTGCTCTACCACTGAGCTGCATCCCCAGCCCTTTTTAAAATTTTTATTTTGAGACAGAGTTTCCCTAAATTGCTGAGGCTGGCCTCAAATTGTGCTCCTCCTGCCTTAGCTTCCTGAATCCCTGGGATTACAGATGTGTGCCACCATGCCGGGCCTTGATTTCTTATTTGTAAATTGAGAATGGGATCAATAATACCTACTTCTTAAGTCTGTGTGAGGATAAAAGATAATACATGTAAAGAATTAAAAATGGTGTGGATATTTGAAGCTCATCTTTCCAAGTTTGAAAAAAAAGAATTAAAAATGGCACACTGCTGCCATTATTATTTTTGATGATGATGTTATTATTCCTTATTGAGCTAGAGAAAGAAGCAGAGAGTGTAAGTCACTCCTGCTCATTAGCTAGCTTAGGGAGGGGAAGGACTGCAATTCAAGCTGCCATTGTGCAAAGCCCACAGAGGCTGTGGAGGTGAGGGTGACACCAGCCCCAGGGCATTAGCATGACTCCTTTTCTAAGAAGCCTGGGTGAGGTGGGTGTGGGTGCAGGAGGAGGAGCTGCTGCCAAGATGCACACAGCTGACCTGGGAGGACAGGCACAGGCAGGCAGCACCTGTAGATCCTTTGCAATGTGCAGTTTATTGTGACCTAGCTCAGCTATTGTGACTGCAGCGCCTGTGTGGGCTGCGATCTGACTCTGGGGGCACATGCCTGATGCCCACATTTCTGCTCCATCAGCCCCAACCCCTGCTTGCCAGGATGTGGCTGAGGAGAGCTGCCTGGAGCCTCCTGTGCCAGCTGTCACGCCTCTTACCTATCTTGCAGCAGCAAGTGTACCTTCTGTGACAAGCTTTGCAGAGGTCACAAGGGAATCATTGCCTTTCTTACTTATGCATTTCTTGCTACGGCTCTCCATGGAACCTGATGGCAGTCCTGGGAAAAGAAGACTGAAGACTTTCTGAGCACCAGGGCTTTATCAGCATCTCATTCATGCCCTCAGCAAGCCTCGATGGTATTAGCATCCCAGCCTGGGGGACTGAGGTCTGAGTGTCAGGGTGATGCGGCTCCAGGTGGGCAGAGAGGGAGTTCAAGCTCCAGTTTCTGCTGAGCCGTAACTGCCCAGTCCTCACCACTGTGCCACCTGGACTCCTTGAGGCACCAGAGGAAAAAAATCTCCCTCTTTTGGATTCTTTCTCCTGGGTCCTCTCCCAGTGCCAGCTGTCATCAGAGTCTGTGCCCAAGTCGCTGAAGTGCAGTGGGTAGAAATCCTTGGCAGGGCTTGCCAAGCTTTGTGCCCTGGGCTGCACTAACTTCTCAGCCTCACCTCTTGCCCTTTGCCCCACCAGTTGGTTTCCTGGGAGCAAATCAGACTTTTCTGGCCTCCACATCTTTGTCCCTTCCCTTCCCTCCTCCTGAAAAGCCCCTCCCTTCCCCAGATTAGTGGAATTCTTCTCTTCCTTTATTGCCTTATTTAAGAGGGCAAGAGGGCAAATAAGTACCTCTCCCCCACACCCCAGCACTGGCCAGATAGCCAAGGTAGCCCTGGTCCCTTTGTGTTTTAATTTCCTTCCAAAGACTGTGAGCTCACCCTCCTTGGTCCCTCAGGTGATTTCCAGATGGTTCTATCATTATATGTTTTATTGTTTGTCTTGCTCTGTTTGTTGATCGAGTCTATTTTATTGGCCATTGTCATGCCCAGTGCCTGGCGTAGACATAGAAGGGTCTCAATAAATACATGTCGAATGATGAGAAAACACCATTAAAAAGTGAACAAATTGGTCAGTTGGTAAGTCAGCAAGTGGATGTTTTAACATTTCACACATTACCATTTAAATTAGGCAACAACAGGCCATTGTCATTTAGGAGGAACAGATTGGTCCTGCCAAAAAAAGTACCAGAACTGCTTAGGATCATTTTTCAGTAGTAGTGATGCTGACTTTATTTTCAAAATCATTTTGAGGAAAACTAGTTGAAAAATCACCCAAATGTGATTTAAAATGCTTATATTTATGTTAGCCAGGCCTGGGGGTACATGTCTGCAGTCAGTCCTAGCTACTTGGGAGGCTGAGGTGGGAAGATCACTTGATCGCATGAGTTTGAGAGCAGCCTGGGCAACAAAGTAAGACCCAATCTCAAAAAATAAAACAAAACAACCATATGTGCTTTCCTTCTATGCAAAGATAAATCCACAAGCATCATCTTTGAGTATTTTTTTTTTGCTTAGGATTATTATTATTATTGCTGATTATTAGTAGTGCTGTTATGCTTTATGATTATTAGGCTGTGTGTATTTTTTGAGGTTCTCTCATGTCTGTCTTGCAACTTAACCTCTATGCCAGTTTTGTTCCACACCCTGGTGGGCCCTCTTGCGAGTGCTAGATGTACCAAGAAATGGTGATCACACATAGCTTGAAAGCAGACTGCAGCATGAGAAAAGTGTTTTGAAATCTCCTGGTGATCTGTAAGTTCAGGTCCCTTCGCCTGTCTAAGCCTCAGTTTTCTCATCTTGAGAAGGGGGCTTCAGAACTAGATGAATTCCAAGAACTCCTTCTACTCTAAAATCCTATCATCTAAGTTCTATAATCCTAACAGTGTGCATAATTTTAAAGATTAAAAAAATGCTCAAAGGATGAAGCAGCAAAATTAACTTCTACCTCCCTTCCTTTCTTATTTGTCCATCATGTCGTACTGGGTACAGAACCCAGGGCCTTGCACATGCTAGGCAAATGCTCTACCATTGAGCTACACCCTTACCCCTTTTAATTTTTATTTTGAAACAGGTCTTGCTAAGTTTCCCAGGCTGTCTTTGAACTTGAAGTCCTCCTGCTTTAGTCTCCCAAGACACTGGGTTTACAGGCATGTGCCACATGTCCACCTTCCCTCTTCCCTTTCTTGAAAAACAACATTTTTTTTTTTGTGATATAAGCTCAAACCCTATCTGTTCTGATGCCTTTTCCTCTTTATGTCACCCAGTCGTATATATTTCAAGTAATTTTATGGTCATTTTATGATATAAAAATCTTTTTACAAATGAATACAACTTTCTACTGTAACAAATATAGAGAGAATAATTTATTAGAAAACAATATATATCTTACTATGTAAATTGCTCATATATGGTTCCAATAGAAGGCAGCTCCTCTGTATGGAAAATCGCCCTGAAAGCAATAAATGTCATTCTGTGCATGGTGACTGACAGGGGTGTACTGTATATAAGACTCAAACATTATGGGCAATATTGTCAGGTTGTCATTTTCCAAAAAAAAAAAAAAATGCTTTGTATTAACAGATAAAATGGAGTTGGTTTCTGGGTTAGGTGATTGCAAAGGTTTTTTCCCCCCTTAGGTGACTGACTGACAAAACATTGAAAGTCAGGTAGATCTGGAGGCAAAGCTTCATTGTGTGTGATGCCCATGTCTTGATTCCTGCCTGTGGAGAGCTGCTGCTCTAAACAGCTTCTACTTTTCAAATACTCGTACCCTCCTATCTTTAGGCTTTTGCCTGCGCCTTGTTTTGATGATGTGTTCTTCCTTCATTTCCACCTGTGAATTCCCCAGTGTTCAACTTTTCTTCATTGTATTGATTCTGTATCCCAATCCAGGAGACTTCAGACTCCTATTCTGCCTTAAAATTTGGCTATCTGTGTTCAGAACCCATTCCCACTTTCCCTTAAGTCCTTTATCTTTTTTTAATTGCTTTTATTTTTGAAATACATGACAGCAGAATGCATCACAATTCTTATTACACATATAGAATACAATTTTTCATATCTCTGTTTGTATATAAAGTATGTTCACACTAATTCATGTCCTCATACATGTACTTTGGATAATGATGTCCATCACATTCCACCATCATTGTTAACCCCCGCCCCTTCCCTTTCCCTCCTTTGATTTTGTTTTTTGGGCCATTTTATTTCCCCATGTCATATAGCACAGAACCTTCACCTAATAGGCAACTAATAAATGTTTATTAAACATAATTTCAGTGACTAACAGAATCTTAATGCATCTGAAAAACTAATTAATTAATTCTGGAACTTGATTTTATAGTCCCCAAGATGCCTAAATTTCTATGGAAAATATTACTTTTGAAAAATAAAGGCAAGGTAGAAGTTGTATGAATTAAACTACTTTTAAAATATTAGGTGACTGATTATAATTTGAGGTTACTGCTACTAGGTCACTTAATCACTGTCTGAAAGTTAGTCTTCTCAAATGACTTCTTTTGCTTTTTGCTGGTTCATATCTTAGTTCTTTCTGGCAATTTTCATAATTCAAGGTATGGGGTTCAGAATTTAGGATTGGTTTCATTAGGTTTAAGTGGGCTAGGACCAAAAAGATGAGGCAGTGGGAAGGAGATGTTGTATACATGCTGGAAGAGCCCAGGGTGGTGGCCGTGTCCCTTAAACAGATACCCTGTGCATGATCTCTCTCTTCCCCTCTGACTCTTTATAACATGATCTATTTTCGCATTTTGAAAAATGAGAGCAGTTGCTTTGAATCATACAAAAATATTTGTATATAAAATCCTAAAAAATGTATTGGGGACATCTGGTGGTAAATATCATTCCCCCGTGGAGGTGAATCTTTTGAAGCTAACACGTGCATATGTGTATCAGCTGTACAGCTGTGAGAAGCTCTCATTTTTCCTGCTCTCTTCTGCCTCCCCAGCCTATTTACATATTTTAGCAATGATGGAAATATTTTCACCTAATTTGAAAATTCTTTATTGCAGATATGCAGCCTGAAATGGATTTTCTTAATGAAGATTCAAACATTTTGTCCTTTTCACTTCTTGTAGAAGTGTTCATTGCCTCCATCAGTTTAAAGCCATGTATACTTGTGCTAGATGGAATTGAAGAATTGATTGGTATTTATGGGATTTCAGGTCAGAAGGTAATATCTTTTTAAAAGAATCCCCTATTTTATTACTGTTTTATAAAAAGAAACCCCCATTACTTAGGACATGAACAGTTCAGGATTGGCTAATATGAATACTTCTGGTGGGCTTGGGACACAGGGGGTTGCCCCTAGTTGTCTGGTACCTGGCTCTTTGTTGATTTGGGACAGAGGAAGTAGGGGTTGTGGAAGCTAGCTAAGAAGGAGGGTTGAACGCTAGGCACAGTGGTGCAGGCCTGTAATCCCAGCGACTCCGGAGGCTGAGGCATGAGGATCACAGGTTGAAAGCCAACCTCAGCAAAAGAGGTGCTAAGAAACTCAGTGAGACCCTGTCTGTAAGTAAAATACAAAATAGGGCTGGGGATGTGGCTCAGTTGTCAAATGTCCCTGAGTTCAATTCCTGGTACCAAAAAAAAAAAAAAAAAAAAAAAAAAGGAGGGTTGGGCCCACCCTTGGATCTGTGGTCTGCATATGAAAGGTGTGTTCCAGATAAGCTGTATACTTCCCTGTGGAAGTAGCTGGCTTTGAGAAAGACAGTGTCTCCCTGGGTCTGAAAGACCTTGAAAGATGTGAGAACATCCTAAAACGTGGCACAATCAGTACCCAAAGCACACTCAGCCCCAAGCCAGGCTCTGGAGGAAGCACATAATATGTGATAGATCCTATTACTAGGCAAAGGAGTGGGAAAGGCTGTTAATGGAATCAAGAAAAGATCCCAAATAAAGCCATTTTGCACGAGTGACAATTCTTCAGCTTCACACATGTCTTTTCCAATTGAATCGTTCACGTACTCTCTCAGGGCTCCTCTAGTCACTGTAGGTCAATTTTTAGAGGTGTGTGATTTTATTTAGTTGCTTGTTTATAAGAACTGTTTTTAGGGTTCACTTTTGCACTATCAAATTCTTAACAAGTAGGCAAATCAGTCAAGTATAGTTGTATTGAGGGTGCCTTGGTATTTTATTACCACCAACTTGTTTACTATTTACGATTAATAACTCTAATGTCAACCTTACCCTATGTTACTCTGTGTACTTTCAAGCTTTACATCTCTCTGACTCTCTCCATCAGGCCAAAGATTTCTCCTGGCTGCCTCACTCTCTCCCTCCTCATTGCAAGTTCATCCTGAGCACTGTCTCCTCCAGCCTGTCCTGCAAGTTGCTATGTGCCCGGGCAGACGTGAAGATTGTGGAACTCACCAGCGTTGGAGATGAAGACACAAGGCTCAGCATCTTCAGACAGCACCTATTCACCCCAGGCCAAGACCCCTCCCTACATAGCAGACTCGCTTTGAAGAAAAAACCAAGCCTGAGTCCTTTGAAACTCACAGTCCTGGCCAATGAGCTGAAAGAATGTAGAATCTACCGCAGTGAGCTTCAGTGTCTCAAGGAGTACCTGGAGGTGGCCTCTCTGCAGGAGTTCTGGGAGTTGATTCTGAAACGCTGGACTGAAGACTATAGTTGGACTATTAAACAAAAAAAGGCAAAACCAGACAATGGGACTTCAGAAGAAGGTAGGCCTGGGCAGTGTAGACAGCTTGGTGGGTGTTCATGGGGAGAAAGCTGTGAGGCAAGCGCCACCTCTGGGGTGAGTCTAGGCATGGCGTTGGCGAGGAAAATACAGGAGGCCCAGTTAAACTTGAATTTCAGACCCATAAAAAATAATCTTTTAGTAGAAGTATGTCCCAGATATTTCATGGGGCATATTTATACTAAACATTAATTGGATTATAGATAAGCCGCAAATAATTCTCAGTTTCTAAGTATATTACAAATATATTACACTTGTATAGGGCATACTTACACTAAAATTAGTTTGTTGTTTATCTGAAATTCAAATTTAAATAGGCATCTGGTATTTTTATTGCTAAATTTGGCAACTCTTATCTAGTTATAATTCTCTATTATAATTCTGAGTTAAAAGTCTCAGTTTATAGCCCATATAGAAGTTGTATGGAGTATACTTGTACTAAAAATTAGTTGGTTGTTTATCTGAAATTCAAATTTAAATAGAAATCTAGTATTTTTATCACTAAATTTGGCAACTCTATCTAGTGAGCATAAGTAAGGAGAATTTAGCTACAAATTTCAGTCAAACTTTTCAGGGGTCTGAGAAATATAATTTGATTATTTCTATAACTCAGTTTAACCTCTCTTGATTACATCGTCCTATTTATGGCACAAACCTAATCTAGTCAATTCAGATTAATTTTATCAATTTCATTTGTTTTTAGTCAATTCAGGATTATGTTTTTCAGTCAGGCGAGGATTTGTGGGCTTCCTGTGGCTCTGTTAGGTTGAACTGATATCTGAGGGCCATGAGTGTCCTTGGTTGTCATCTGTCCCTGCAGTCTTCTGCCAAGGTGGCCACAGTCCCAGATGACCCACAGACATTGCTGTATTTCCATTTTGGGCTTGGCTGGCTGTTCCCATCTGCTCTAGGATTGTTCTAGCTTTGCTGTCCCCTGCTCACAGGGAGGGCCCCCCTCCTCAGACCTGGTACACACCCTTTTTGAGTCTTGTTTTGGTCTCTGATCCTCTCCTTTTAAAGTTCCACAAAGATCTCTTCTTCCTATATAGGAAAAATGTCCTTGTTAGACCATCCTGTAGTTGAATCTGTCTTTTGTGTTAACAGTTTATTCCAACAGTTTGTCAGGAATTTGTTTGATGATATTCAACAATCAGGCTCTTGAGGATCAGTTTATTCTCTCAAGCCATTGTCTCTGTTGTGGGCTTCAAAAGTCTATTGTGAAACTTGTTTCCTCTCTTTGTTTCTGCTATAACAGGCTTCTCTTCAGGGCAATGAACTTAAAATGGAGCAGGGTGGAGGAGGTGGGGGTGTAGAGAGAAGCAGGAAATGTTTGGAATGAAGGACACATTGATGAGTACTGTAATATATGTCTTGTCACATTTTTCACCTTGGAGTCTGCATTTCTATAAAGAGAAATGATTTCTTGTTGTTTTTTCCCTTTCCCATCTCCAAGGAGGGAGAAACAAGATCATTGTGCCCCTGGAAGTCACTCAAGCCAAATGGCCCATGCTGTGCTACCCTGAATCCCCAGGATTGGGTAGGAAAGTCCAGGTCTCTTCCCCTGAGGGAATGCTCTGTCCCCAGCACTGTGCAGCAACTCCCTCTGAGCTGCGCCACAGGAACCAAAGAGCTGGACCAAGCTGGGCCAACCGCGGGAAGCTTCTGCGGTAGGGGCTGACCTGCTCTGCCTTCACTTGAAGACTGAAATTTGGGCTCATTCCTCAGTCCTAGCATAGGAAATGCATTCAGAATGGTGGACCATATTGCCATGTTTCCCAGAGGGCTGATCTCCTTATAGTTGGTAGATCATAAAGGCAGCAGGGAATCCACCCAGAGGATAAAAATGTAAGGTCAGTGGGTAATGAAGGGCTGCCTCGAGGGGTGCCTGGGAACAGGTGGCAGGAGGGCAGTCTTACAGCAAAGCCACCTCCACCCACGGGGCAAATTCGCCTTGGCGAAGACTACTCGCAGAAAAGCTCAGAGTGATGATTGGCAGGCTTGCCAGTTCACATCACAGCTCAGGGTGTGTTAGTTGGGACGAATAAATGATAACTTAATGGGTAACAGTATGGGCTCTAGAGCCAGACTGCCTGGGTCCAAATTCCTGTTACTTTTGTGTCACCTTGGGGAAGTTATTTAACTTGTCTGGACTCCATTTTTCTCATTTATTAAACAATGGCCTTTCCAGTATTTACCTACAGAGTGAGTGAAAGAAAGAAGTTGAATAATCATAAAACATTTAGGCATGGTGGTACACACCTGTAATTACCAGTGGCTTGGGAGCCTGAGGCAGGAAGATCAAAAGTTTGAGGCCAGCCTCAGCAACTGAACTTGGCCCTAAGCAATCTAGTGAGATCCTGTCTCAAAATAAAAAATAAAAGGGTCTGGGGATGTAGCTTAATGGTAAAGTGCTCCTGAGTTCAGTGCCCAGAACAACAACAAAGTTTAGCCTGCTGCACGGCTGGTGCTTGCTCTGACTTGTCGTCCTTGTCATTGTGTTGTCCGCACAGGGCTGGATGGCTGGGTGGCCGATGCTCTGTGCTTACTGTGCATCTCGAATTGTGGCATGGCTGAGGATGAGCTACTCCAGGTTTTGGACACACTGGGCTACAGGAATAATTACAAAGTGACCACAGTGCACTGGGCTGCTTTCCGCAATGCCACTAAACAGTGGGTCCAGGAGAAGCCGAATGGTGTCCTCTACTTCCGACACCAGTCCTTGCGAAGTGCTGTGGAGAGCAAGCTGCTTGGTAAGGCTGAATCTGTGAAAATACCTGCTGGTTAAAAGGAAGTAGGAGATGCATCCAAGAGAAAGCTTGTAGTGGGCTTTCTCAATTGGAAATGGAGGCCATAAAAATGCATGACAATGATTATATACATTCTCTGAGACTTGACTCTGGCCAGATGCCCCAGGTTTTTTTCTGGCAGATAGTAAACTTCTGGAGGCAGGCAGTCCTGGGCTGCTCTGTTGGCTTCAGAGAGTCACTGGGACCCATCTCCTTATGTATCCCTGATTCACTACATTGGCTTATATTCTCAAGATCACCTTGTGCTCATGGCCGCTGGAGCACCAGCCATCACATTACAAACAATAGGAAGGACAAAGAGAGAAAGAAGCTTATAAGAAGCTTTCCTATAAGTTTCACACGGACATTTCCACTATGCCTCTTTAACCTAGAACTTGATTACTTGGCCACATCTGGACATGAGGGAAGCTGGGGATTCAACTGGTGCACTGCTGTCCTAAACCAAGGCAAGGTTCTTTCACTAACAAAAAATGAGGGAAATAGATATAGGTAGGAATTAGCCTCTGTCCTAACTCTAAAACCAAATTCTTATCCCTTCTGAAAAGAACTGCAGGTCTGCATCCAAGAAACTGCCAATCACATACACACTGGCTTAGAAGCAGAGCCCTGGGTGAGACTTTCCCAGAACTTCAAGTCTGACAACTTGAAAAATCTTTAAATCTCAGCCTCTGGGAGGATTCCAAGCCCTGTGCAAATTTCTTCTAACTATATTCTTTTTTACTTACATTTAAAAACATATTTATTTTTTAGTTATAGGTGGATAATGTATCCACTTTACTTTTATGTGGTACTGAGGAAGGAACCCAGTGCCTCACTCATGCCAAGTGAGTGCTCTATCTCTGGAGCCACAATCCCAGCCCTTTACTTACATTTTTAAGATATAAATTCTATTTTCTATCTCATCTGCCTCATATTGCAGTCACTTCTGCCAGCACTCCAGCTCTGTGATGCAGAGCAGAGGGCAGGCCTAGCAATGAGGTTGCTCTTAGATTCGTGGCAATTCTTCCACCCTTTGCTGTATGGTGATTTCTTCTCAGTGCCGTTACTATACCAGGCACTTCAGTACTTCACCTCACTTATTTCTCATGCAACCAGAACATCCCCAGATGAGGCTCAGCCCTGACAATGGTACTTCCCACCAGCTGGAAAGTCCCCTCCTGTTCCAGGTGTCCCTAGGAGTCCACCAGCCGTGGCTCCTGTGCATCTGCTGGCTGCTGTGGTCTCTTCTGATTCCCCTTGTGCATGTGGGTGCCTCACAACTGCCCGCCCCCGGGGCAGAGGACACTGTAAAAAATGAACAGACCACACGACAAGAGTCCCGCCCCTTTTTTTATCCCAAAGCAAGCAGATCTCGAGGTGCCCGAGTAGACCTTTGGGTGAGTGACTCCTGGGAGGTTTGAGCACCACTGATGCCTTTCTCTCCAGAAACCTGCCTTTCTCAGGCTCTTAGGGAACTCTTCCTGGAAAGAGCCTCTTCCATTTCTTCTTGTAACCTTGTACCTCATAAGAGCTCCCCAAAATCCCGTCTGTGAAGTCCATTTTTTTCTGCCGCTTTTGAGTGGAGGGAATCAATATGTCATAATGGTTGACAGTGGGATCCTGATGCCAGATTAGTGGTGAGACCTGGCATTCTTGCTTGCCAGTTGGGTGACCTTGGCCACCCTGTGTCCCACGTTTCACATTTACCAAATACATGTATCTATCTCATAGGATTTTTACTTGTAAGCATTCAATGAATTAATTCACGTAAAATACTTAGAACAGTGCCTGATCCATAGTAAATTCTTTTTAAAATTAGATCATTATAATTATACATAGTAGTTGGATTCATTTTGACAAAATCATACATGCAAGGAATTTGATTCAAGCCCCTGTATCTTCATTTTCCTCCCCTCTTCCCTGCCCCTGTTCTCCCTCCTCTACTGATCTTTCTTTCGCTCTTTCTTCAATTTATTTTTGATTGGTACTTTCTTCATACACATAACGGTGATACTCCCTTTGGTACATTTATAGATGCATATAACATGATTTTGTTAAATTCATTCTATATTTTTTCTTCTTTTCCTTCCTTCCTGCCTCTTGTTCTCCTCCTATTTCACTGATCTTCCTTATATATTTATGATACCCAAACCCCCTTCCATAGTAAATTTTTAAGAAATATTAGCCACTATGACCTCCTCTTCATAACTGTCTTCCTATGGCCTCCTCATCTCGAATTCGGTGGGTCTGAAGATGATTCTGCTACATTAGACAACTCCAAGCACATTTGACTCCCCTGGGACCATTCCAGCTACACTCAGCAGGTGTTTGCTGAATGAATATACGACTGTCCCTGGCTGCCTACGTGTTGAGGCCTGCTGTATAACTGGAGGAGCACTAAATTCAGAAACTAAATCCTGCTTCTCTAGTTACTGGTCATGTGCTAATCAGAGCAAATCACTTGGTCTCTCTGATTTTTAAGTCACTTTATTTGTCATAGGTGGATTCATATTCATATCTTCCTCATGAGAATGTTGTAAAAAGATAAAATTAAATGTAGTGTTTTTTTTTATTAAAATGTTTTTTTAAATTTATTTATTCTAATTAGGGATTTTATGAAAATATTTTCCACTTTTAAATTTTTTTAAATTTCTTTTTTAAAAAATATATTTAAAATTCTTTTGGTAGTTGTAGATGCACAGGATGCTTTTTATTTTATTTGTTTTTGTGGTACTGAGGATTGAACCCAGTGCCTCACCCATGCTAGGCAAACACTCTGCCACTAAGCTACAGCCTTAGCCCTAAAATTTCTTTTGTGTATGCTAAACATGTGCTCTGCCACTGAGCTATACCCCCATCCCCAAATTTTAGGCATTGTATTTAACACTACAAATCTTTAACTTATGGTAATATTTGTCCCACTTCTTTTTTTTTCTTTCACCCCCCACCCCCACCCCACTTTCCCAATTTACAACCTACAGAATGCCTTTGCCTTACACAGCAGGAGAGGGCCACTTCTGTCCTATGACCATGGGAACAGGTACAGGTGGCTCACACCTTTTCTCCTGTGCTTAGCCCTCCAGCTTCTGATTCTACTGCAGACATTTGTGGATCTCTTAAGCACTTTGCCACCTGAGCATATCTGCACACCTTAGACCAAAAGGAACAGAGTCTTCCAGGGTGACCTGGACATCTTTCAATGGAAATGCAGAATGGTTACTTAAACTTTGTTATTGTCCTTATCGAAGAGCTGGGCTTGGTGTGCCATCTGGCCACGTGTTCTACTCATCTTGCAAACAAAGATGTCAAGCAGAAAATGTAAAAATATGTCTGGGCTGGGGCTTAGTGGTAGAATTACCTGGCTCACATGAGGTCTTGGGTTCTATCCCCAGCACCACTACAAACAAAGCAGAACAGTAAAAAACTCTTTTGTTAGTTTTCAGGGATAGCTACCCTAATTTAATTAAAGTCCTGTTTTTGAGAAGCTTATCTCTGGGCATTATAGGTTATCATAACTTTTTCTTTGGAAATGAAGATATAATAGTCCTGGCTCCAACAACAAATTTGCCATTTATTTGCTCTGTTACTCTTTGGCTTACATGAGATCCAGGTAATGGATTAATGCATACCTTTGAATGTTTGAAAGTGCTTATTTAATCAGTAATCGTGGTGTATATTTAAAACAGAAAAGTAGGTTGCAAATATTTCCTTTGGGGAGAGGGAAAACCTAACATAAAAAGTCAACATGCTCACCAATGATCATAACTATGAATAATTCTTGCAGAAATTCAGACTGATGTAGAAGATCTTTTTTTTTTTTCAAGCTACCTTGAATTTTATTTGGTAATTATGGCCACAGAGCTGTCATGTTTTTGTTACACTATGACATATACAAAAAATTCAGAAGCATTAAACTATAATTGATTTTAAAATAGGTATAACCACGCCTGTCAGGGAGAGCAGTCCAAATGCTTGTCAGAACCCAATGAATCTCAAGAAAACACATTTTCACCTAGTCTTGGTCAGATACTTCCAGCAACAGAACACTTTTTGGAGAGTGTTTCAAGAATTGCCATGGCATATGAAAATGAGCGGATGCTTGGGGGCGTTGTGTAGCTTTCTCACAAACCCAAGGTGAGTCTTGCCAGTCTTAGTCTTTATGTTTACGCACATTTGGCTTTTCTGTTTTAATGTTGTTTAGATACCTATGGTTCCCTTGAGCAGGATGCATTCATTTATTCATTCAACTGCCCACTTGTTCATCTGGATGGGACCACCATCTGGCATCAGCTTCTGGGGTTGATGGGTCCCCTGGGTTGCTCCAGTCTGTCTGTCTGGCTTGCTCTGCAGAAGGCTCTTTTCCCCTTTCACTCCCTGTCCATCCTCTCCAGTTAACTGGCATTCCAGAGAACTGGACAGGATTTGGAAAGGGATAAGGATGGGCTGAGCTCTCCTGCAAGATCCTCCTTCTTTTCCCTATACATTTCATCTCCCCTTCCCTCCCCCTTCTCCCTTATTTGTCTTTTTATTTAATTTTTTATTGTAGATGGACACAATACCTTTATTTTATTTGTTTTTATATGGTGCCGGGGATCAAACCCAGCGCCTCTCGCATGCTAGGCAAGTGCTCTACCACTGAAATACAACCCCAGTGCCCCCTTCTTTGTCTTTTTAAACATCTACTGAGCACCCATTCTGCCTCCTACACTGCCCTGGGGTGTAGTGAGTAAGCTGCAGCCCCACGCCTTCTGTACTGTCCATCCAGTAGGGGGAAGATGTGGATTCAGTCACTATACATAGGGGCAAATATTTTACTTGAAAATGACACAGTGAAGAGTATAAGCAGGAAAGATGGAGGACCCTTTGCCTGGTGGGTAGAGCCAGGGAGCCTTCCTGGAGGAGGGGACCTCCTGGACAAATAATTGGCTTTGACTATTGATAACCAAAAGGCTCATTTATCTGGTGACCAAAGTCATGTAAGTTAAGTTGTTTTTGACTAGATTAATGATATGTGGTAAACACAAGAGCTTCCTTCAAGGCATAGAATACTAAAGTGATTCATATCCATACATTGTGTCACAAGTATCACAGATTTTATATCAAAAATCCAAAGCTCAAGCTTCTGGACAAGGCTGTACCTCATTCACTACTGGAATGTTTTATCAGAAGCTGGATACAATACTTCCAGGGCCTATTTGATGTCAGTGGCCAGTATTAAAGCAGATCAGTGCCATAAAGTGAAGAGGAGACAAACCCTCTCAGGTATAGTACCAATGTTTCCGTAGTCCATTTTGCTGGGATATAGAGTAGTCAAAAGTTACTATTCTCCTATTTCCTCACATCATTTTTGTCAATTCATTAGGCCTGATTATTCGCAATGTAAGCCAACAATTTCTGAAGAAGAAAATTTCCAAAGGAAATCAGGAAAAAGGATGAATTTGAAATAGCTTTTCTTTCTCTTCTTTTCCGGGGGTTTATTATTAACAGTGTTTTCTCTCTCTACTTCCTCATAACTTCAACCACACCCCTAATGCCTGTCTTCATTATCTGTATTTCCGACCTTGACCTCCTTTTGGAGTTCCAGAGTCCATCCCCATTTCATGATATGGCATTTGTTTTACTTTATTTTTTGTGGCACTGGAGATTGAACCCAGGGACTTGCACAAGCTAGGCCAGTGCTCTACCACGGGGCTACACCCCCTCCAACTAATATTATTGCTTCATCAGCAGCTTTCCTGGGTGATCAGTGGATGCTTCAAATTAAATAGGTGCAAACCTAGATTAGTTCCCTCCAATTTGTTCCACATTCCCTCTGCCTACTGATGGCAGCTTTAAATTAACAGTCTCCATTACTCAGCACTAACTGTACTATCGAGGGTGGTCTCAATCCAAATTGGACCACTATTCTTTGACTTTGTACTTGAGTCTTGGGTTGAAGAGGCTGGGCTTCGAACTTGCTGTCCTCTGACCTCAGCTTCCAGAGTTACTGGGATTACAAATGTGTGCCACCACACACAGCAGATGTGTGTGTAATATTTTTTTAATTGTCAACAGGCCTTTATTTTATTTATTTACATGCGGTGCTGAGACTCAAACCCAGAGCCTCACACATGCTAGTCAAGCGCTCTGCCACTGAACCACAACCCCAGCCCCAGATGTGGTTTTAAAAGGTCACTTTGGATGTTGTAAAAAGGTTGAAATAGAAAAGGGACAAGCATGGCTTCAGTGGTAATAACCTAGGTAGGAGACAATGCTGGCTTAGACCAGGGTAGCCATGGGGACACAGAGGAAGGTTTGGGCACAGAATTCACAGGACTTGTTCACAATTGGGTACAGAAGTCAAAGAAGATGCCAGTGATTCTGACTTGAAGGACTGGGTAGATTACCATTGTTGACCAAACAGGAAACACTCTTGAAGGAGCTGTTCAGGGAACAAAAGCCATGTTGAGTGTGGAGTGACTGTAGAAAGCCAGGCAGGGGTATTCACTGGGCTTCAAGAAAGAGCAGTGGCAGAGAGAAATGCCTACTTTAATACCTGGATCATGGAATGAGATCATGAAGGAGAGGCCAGAAAGAGGCAGGTGTAGCAAGAGAAGAGAAGGCAGAATTAGAGAGGTAGGAGGAAAACCAGGTTTTAGAGCAAGAACTTTCCCAAAGTAAAGATGGGTGATCACATTAATTAAATGTCTAATATTCCATTTTGAATTATTTTCTGCCAAGTTGAAATCCTACAAAATACTCTACCTTCTTAGTAAGAGTGTCTTACAATCAAGTGTTTTGGAGGAAAGGGGTGGAGATGGGAGCAGGAGTTAAGGGCCCGGACAATCATCAGAGAAGAGGGAAAGGCAGGAAATGGGTGCAGAACAGAAATTCCTTTTCCCCAAATGCACCAGGGGGAAAAAGGGGCTCCAGGAGAGAAAGCCAGATCCCAGTGTTGGTTGGAGGGGCTTTCCAAGAGGCAGCTCCACAGCTGAAAGAGCTGCATTTCGTAGGATCTGTAGGACTGTCCCCTGGACCACAGAGCCTGGCTTTCCTCCCTGTGTGGGAAATGAAGAATCATTGTCCTTTTGGGGGGCTCATTCTTCATTCTCCCCTTCTGTTGTTCTAAGAGATAAGCAGGATACTTAAACTTTTGACCCCTGCCTGCTTCAAGAAAACGCCTTTTAAAAAATCCAAGTTTTCCAAGGGTGCGATGAGTTGGAGGGAGGGGAGTGGTAGGCGGTGTCTGGTGGCCTGGTGGTGTTGCTGGGGGCTGGAGGGAGTGAGAACCCCGCTGTTGTAGTTCTCCCTCAGGCCGTGGAGTTTGGCTCTCCCTGGTGGCTGGAGGTGAATTATAAGCCCAACTTTTAGATTGACTGGAAACAATGTGCCTTTGGAGTCTGGCACTCACTTCTCAGCGGCTTCTAGACCCATTACTCAGTGGCGGGGTTTGCTCCTTCTTGAGGGACGCATCCTGCAAAGTTGCGTGTCTGATGGATGACCAAGGGGAAGGGCTTTGAAACTAGAGGGCAACTTCAAGACTTGGTTTATTGTCTATAGATTTTCTGTGGCATGATGCTCTTGTTTTGGCCGAGGGCCCTGGGTCACACTGAAATGAAGAAAATCCATTTCTAACTGCAGCTGCTTTTTTTGGACAGTGCCAAAGACAGGAAGAGACAGACTAAGAATAGATGTGGCATGTGCAAGCGAGTGACAGAGGTTCTTGGAGGCAGGATGCCCCATGGTGGAAAGAAGGATGCATCCCAGCGTTAGAAATAACGAGATGCCGCAGGTGCTGCAAAAAATCAAACACGTTCTCAAAACTGGGTGGGCGAGACAGAGCAGAGGGCTTGCAAAGCACCTGGTTAGAGGTACCTAAGGCGCTGGCTTAGGTACCTCACTGAACTCAGCGCTGCCCTTCACTCTGATTGGAGGAGTTCTGGTTACAATCCCCGCGATTGGCTAATTTTAGAATTGGGGTGGGTAAAAGGGAAGGGCTACAATTTTGAAAAGGACCCTCCAGACTTTCGGTTTCTCCCACCAGCATGGGTCCATCTGGGCAGATGGTTGGCTGTCCGCCAGTGGCAGCTGTGGTAGGTGGGGAGCAATCATCTTATTAAGGGGGGAGCTTTCTAATGAGGACAAAGGGTAAATACATGATAGGTCTTGTCAGAAGGTTGCAGTGAAAAGAAAAACAGTTTTTCATGATTAGTGTATAAAACATGGCCTCTTTACCTTTAGAAGCCTGTAAATATTTTTGATTTATTGGACAAAATAGTTGACTAAAATTTAAATAGTGCTACAGGAAAAAAAAAAAAGAGCAAATGACTCAATTTGCAATGAATAGAAAATATGAAATATCTGAGAATAAATTTAACAAGAAATGTAGAGGATCTTTATTTTATTTTTTAAAAGCTTCAAAATTATAGAAAATAGGACTACAGTATGGAGGGAGACATTCCATTTTCTTGGATGGGCCAACTCATGTAAAGCTATCAATTCTTCCCCAATTTTGACATAAAGAATTCTAAGTGAAATCTCAATGGATTCAAGTATTTGTAAATTCTCAGAATGATTGCAGAAGTTGTTGAAGAAATTATATGTGAGAGAAGAGTGAAATAATTAGGGTACTTTGAATGTCAGGTTATTTGAATGTATTATGCAGCTATAATAATTTAAAAAATATCATCATGAACAAAATGAGACCGCTCTGTGGAACAACATAGATGCTCAGATGCTCAGGTATAGGTAGAACTCAGGAAGTGAGAGAACCTTCTCATAATCTGTTTCTATTTATGGAAAGAAATAGCGCTGGAAAAGTAGTACAATGGTAATGGTTAGTTATTGGGTAAAAAGCTTACCTTTCTGAAACGTCACACTAAAATAATTTCCAGAAAGGATTAGTTAAATGTAAGAAAATGAAACTATATTTAAAAATTACAAGAAAATATAGGTAAGCCTAAGCAAGAACGCAACAGAATAAATCATGAAGGAGAACATAATTGACAAATCTATCTAATCAGACACATAAAATTTTTGTACGTGAAAGAAAGCAAAACACCACCAATAAGACAACTTAGAAAATCAGAAATACATATAGAAAGCAAGTGAGCAGCTAGGAAAAATATTTATAACGTATAATATTTATAACATATAACAATAGGTAAAAGATTGATATTTCTAAGATGCAGAGTTAATGTGTAAGAAACTGTCAACCATCTTCCAAAGGGGCGGTTATCATTTTGCATTTTTTTTTAAGAGAAAGAGAATTTTTTAATATTTTCTTTTTTTTAGTTTTTGGTGGACACAACATCTTTATTTGATTTTTATGTGGTGCCATGATTTTATTCTCTTTTAATGCTGAGTAATATTCCATTGTGTATATATACCACAGTTTCTTCATCCATTTATCTCTGAAGGGCATCTAGGTTAGTTCCATAATTTCGCTATTGTGAATTGAGCTGTTATAAACATTAATGCAGCTGTGTCCCTGTAGTATACTATTTTTAAGTCCTATGAGTATAGACTGAGAGTGGGATAGCTGGGTCAAATGATAGTTCCATTCCAAGTTTCCAAGGAATCTCCATACTGCTTTCCAGATTGGCTGCACCAATTTGCAGTCCTACCAGCAATATAAGAGTGTGCCTTTCCCCCACATCCTCATCAACACTTATTGTTGCTTGTATTCTTAATAACTGCCATTCTGACTGGAGTGAGATGAGTAGTAGTTTTTTTTTAAATAATTTTTTAATTGTAGATGGACACAATACCTTTATTTTATTTATTTTTATGTAGTGCTGAGGATTGAACCCAGTGCCTCATAGATATGAGGCAAGTGCTCTTCTACTGAGTCACAATCCCAGCCCCTTAGAGTTATTTTGATTTGCATTTCTCTTATTGTTGAACATTTTTTCATATATTTGTTGACCAATTATATATATTCTTCTAAGAAGTGTTTGTTCAGTTCCTTAGCCCATTTAATGATTGGGTTATTTGTTTTTTGTTGTAAAGTTTTTTGAGTTCTTTATGCTGAAGATAGTACTCTATCTGACATGTGTGTGGTAAAAAATTGCTCCTATTCTCTAGGCTCTCTATTCATCTCACTGTTTCTTTTGCTAAGAAGAAGCTTTTTAGTTTGAATCCATCCCATTTATTGATTCTTGATTTTATTTCTTGTGCTTTAGGAGTCTTGTTGAGGAAGTAGGGGCCCAATCCGACATAATGAAGATTTGGGCCTATTTTTTCTTCTATTAGACGTGAGGTCTCTGGTCTAATTCCTAGGT